CTCAAATGAACGCAAAACACATAATAGATGACAAAAAGATCCTAAAACCACCTAAACAATTCAATAAGGGGAAAAAAAACGGTAAAATAATGACCAAAAATGACACAAAAATGGGACAAACAATTACCGTGCTTTGTAGTCGAGGCTATACAAAGTTGAGCATCTTGAAGTCGGCGCAGTAAATATGTGGAACCAGTTCCCGATGTTGCAGACTGTCAATACCAGCATGTGTAGGGTCGCCACAGATGATCGAGGGGAGGCCGATCCGGAGTACTTGCTGTGGTACCGTCGGGTTTCTCATCCTACTGTCTTGGGCGAGAGTCTGCCTGACGAGAGACAGATCCCTACGCGTGAGAACACCGACTATGTAAGACGTTCGCAAGCTTTTAATTAATAATATTTGATTAGAATAAATTTTATTTTAATAAATAATGAGCATATAATTTTATTCTTATTTTTTGTTTTGTAGTGGATGGACCGTGCTTTCACTCTTACCACGAGGACTCTGCGGGGTCTAACAGCTCATGATCCTCTGCAGGTGGCGCAGTTATCAGACGAATTGGCTAAGCTTAAGATGGATTACGCCAATTCCAAATAAATGTGTAATGATGTTTTTTTTTTTTTTTTTGTAAAACATTATGCGGATTGATGATGGACCATGTTTTTTGTAAAACATTATGCGGATTACGCCATGTTTTTTGTAATTCTCCATTCTTCTCATCCTACACGACTAGTGTGACCCGGTGACACGAGTCGTGTGAAAAAATATTCAATTTTCGACATACTTTCAGGACCACACGACCCCGGACACGACAGAGTCACACGGGTCGTGCGAGGTCACACGGCTCGTGTCATTTTGTTACACGAGTCGTGTGAAAAAGCCGTAGCCAATTTCACAATTCTCTGTTGAGTCACACAACTCGTGTGAACCAGTGACACGAGTCGTGTGAAAATGTCGTAGCCAATTGTGAAATTCTCTGTTGAGTCACACGACTCGTGTGACCCAGTGACACGAGTCGTGTGGAATCACACGACCCGTGTCACAAGACACACGAGTCGTGTGAAAATACCGTAGCCAGTAGTGAAATTCTCTATTGAGTCACACGACTCGTGTGACCCAGTGACACGAGTCGTGTGGAATCACATGACCCGTGTCACAAGACACACGAGTCGTGTGAAAATGCCGTAGCCAATAGTGAAATTCTATGTTGAGTCACACGACTCGTGTAACCCAGTGACACGAGTCGTGTGGAATCACACGACCCGTGTCACAAGACACACGAGTCGTGTGAAAATGCCGTAGCCAATTGTGAAATTCTCTATTGAGTCACACGACTCGTGTGACCCAGTGACACGAGTCGTGTGGAATCACACGACCCGTGTCACAGCACACACGAGTCGTGTGTCACCCCACTCTACGCTCGACTATTTTTTTTTTTGTATAAACAAGATTAAAATGAAAGCATTTAATAAAAAAACATAATCTTTTCAAAGTTTCCAACAACATAAAACCGAACACCGAATAGAAGAAAGTATGTCATACATCAGGGGTTATTTTGAGAATCAAACCATAATTGCAACCTAGCCTAGTACCGATTATCCCAATTCTCCACTGAATCAGTTCGGTGTCTGAACCACATACTATGAATAGGCGGTAATGGACAATCTGGAGTCAAATCTAACCGAATGTAGTGTTCGTAGCTACCAAGATGACATATGCAAATCTCACGGCGTGGTCCTGTACTCGTTGATGCTGCAGCGAGCGGTAATACTGTGCAGCTGAACTGGTGGGCCATATGACCATTGCGACCAGAGCTTAAAAGAACGACAACCACATTAAATAGGGTTGCAACCGGGTAAAGGTCGCTTGGAGTGTCCATCCAGTGACCCGTGTCACAAGAGCCACCGTCCCACCTTATAAAATTAAAATATTAGCATTTGAATAATTATAATATAAAAGAAAAATAAATTTAAAATATAAATATTAGCATAATAATAATAATAATAATAAAAATCGCCCCCGTCCCACCTTATCTGAGCGAGTGCCCTGTCGATATCCCTGTAATAGATGTACTCGTACAAGGCACGGTGGCTGTAAATCTCATTGGCAATGTTCTGTCGTACGAGATGCCACATCTCTTGGTCCCCGTAAATATAACTCGCGATGACCCGCCATCCGCAGTTCCCATCTGCTTTCACATTCAAGTAGCTCACTACGTAGTCCAACATATGTCAGGGAACACTGCTGCTGTACGCAAAGCTAAATATATCTGTCTCGGTACCAGCTGGAACATCATAATCATTTCACGTCACAATAAAATAATATAATTTTGTAAATTAACATTTTAATTAATGTTCAACTTTATAAAAAATAAATGTCACCTTGGTGTGCCTCTTATGACGGTTCAGAAGATTGGCTGGTTCTCGGTCCACACGAAGAAGTGCGTCCACGCGAAGAAGTGCATCCACGCGAAGAATTGCTTGTACGACCTTGCGAATTATCCCTATACTCCCATCGCGATGCTTCACGCTTAGTAGAATTAGTTTTTTTGGGACAACCTCGCGTATTTTCCTTAACCTCCGGTTCTGCATATGCTTGTTGATCCGGGTAAAGCTGACCGTAAATGAGGTTATTGCAGTACCGCATCGTCGCAGGATCGCTCGCTTCAACCTCTTTGGCAAGAGTCCAAAAAAACTCAACATCTGTCCAGGCACCCTGATTATGCTGGCTATGGTGATTTGTCCCTAAAAGTATACGAACAAAAAATTGACAATTAAACAAAGTAATATACTTTAATTTGTAATTTAAAATGAATGAGAAAGTAGAAAATTATAAATAAACATTAACCATAAATTACCTGGTTCTAAAATCTCTAGTGTCTTCCAGAACTCGTGGATCATGTCAATATCAGTCGCCATTTTAGAATCATGTGTTGTACGAAGCGTACATGCACAAGGAATTCCATGTGTGGTAGGCAATAAACAGCCGCAACGGAAGTAAACTTCATGGCTCAAGTCTCGCATCCTTGTTAGCTCATCGTTCAATAAATTCATACAGTAATGCGAGACTCTCAATGTCAAGCACGCGAAAGCCAATCCCGTATATGCCGTACTCTTCCTAACTCTCGAAGACTCAAGTGCTGTCCTGTTAATACATTACAAAACAATTTGTTATATATAACAAATTATAATATATTATACTTATATAATATAATATAACAAATTATAATATAATATACTATACTTATATAATATAATATACAATGATAATATAATATACTTATATAATATACTATAAATTACTTATATAATTATTTCGTTTTTTCATGAGTAATAAAATGACACATTTCGTTTTTCAGGAATGTACCTGATTTGAGTCAATTGAGACTCGATCTCCTTCAATCTTATGCCACACTGTATCTAGCGGCCCAATCGAAGTGCGAAGCCACTGCTTCAACACAGAGTGGGCAGTTTCCACCCTACAGGTAGTTGTGTTGCCAAAATGTGTTACTTGGTTCGTCCAGGCTTTCACAAACTTCTCTTTGTGGCCTAGCCACGTCTGCTCGAGATATTGTACCACTTTTGAATTATTCCCGTATTTTGCATTCAATTTAGCTACGGCAACGTCGTATTCATCCGACGTACTGGCATCCATAATCGACTTCCACCGACCGCGCAAGAACCTCTCAGATAAATTTTTATCTTTCCCGAACAAGTTGTACACTTTGTTTTCCACATCTTTGTTGATGTGCCACGTGCAGAGTAAGTGGGCAGATTGGGGAAAATGCCTCCTAATAGGAGTCAATAGCCCAACTCTTTGTCACTGACAACCGCATTAGGATGCACTTGAGCAACGTCATAAATTAGTGACACACGCAAAAAAAAAACCTCAAATTTTTTTACCATATTGCACAAAGTACGTTTATATACTAATTAAATTAATCATGTACTTCATTTAAATTCTTATCGTATAGCCTATGAGAAGTCTCAATTTGTCGATAACCCAATCATAACTGGCCTCTTTCTCGTCCTTTATGAGGGCATACGCAATTAGAAAGTTATTGTTGCACGGCGTCATGCCAATCATCTCGACCAACGACAACTTGTACCTGTGAAAATGAGACAAAAGAAAAAAAAAAATTATAATCGCATAAAATTTAATCCAAAATACAAATTTAAATTAATACTAATAACATATCTGTAAATTTAAAATACCTGTTGGTTTTGTACGTTGAATCTATGCCGACAAACCAATAATAAGTCCGGAATAGACTCACTGAATCAGGATGGGCCATAAATATGTGTGTCAGCGCATTTGTATTCAGATCGACATTTGTATAAATTACATAGTTGCTGCTGCTAGCCAAATGTAGAAGTTGGGTAGGAACGTCCCTACCCTCAAAACTTTCCTTACGCATAAAGTCTCTATAGTTATATATATGTCGCCGATTAGCATGGTCGTGTGGATTTTTTTCCTGGACGGCGGCCAAAATATTTGCTGGTGTCACCTGCGCAGCAGTCATATCACGAATAATATTTTTTGATGACTGGCTTATGCCGCTCGACTGTCGATGGCCCTCAGGATACACAACAAATGAATGATTATGGTATCCCTTCGTTTCGTCTTGACTCGTGTGGATCATCCAATATGTCGATCTGACAACACGCTTTACTTGTATCTCAAAAGGGCACTGACACACTTTCATTTTTGAATGTCTAGAAACAGCTTTATTCATATCTACGTTCTTGCCTCTATAACGTTCGCCTCCATGGCACTTCAAGATCTTCAGCCTTCCGGGTTTTTTTGTGTTTCAAAATAGTCAAAAAGAAACCATTCAGAATTGCCGTATTTTTTGCATCCTTAATAGCCTTCTCATCACTAATAAACAGCGTAGTTGTATTGAAAGCGGAACGGTAATCAATACCGTCTCCTCCAAAATCTACTAAAGAGACCTACAATGTAATACATATTTAATAATTTCAAAACATTTAAAAATAATAAAAAAAATAAAAAATAAAAAAATGTTGTCCGGCCGGTCCGGGCCTAACCGGCCGTCGCGGCCTGACAACAAGTGGTCCGTACGACCGGTCGATTAGTACAACGACCGATCCGTACGGCCACAATTTTCGCACGGGACCGGAGGTGTCCGGTCGAACCGACCGGACGCCTTTGTGACTGTCCGGTCCGGTCGGCCAGACACCGCCGGTCCCGTGCGGTAAAGCTGGCCGGACAAATTTATTTTTTTACCTCTGAGCTTGTGGACATCTTGCGGAGACAAAAAATGAAAAGGGCAAAATCGTCTAAGGGGGGCGGTGACTAGTAATAAGGGGGACGGTAATTAGTAATGCCCATATATATATATATTATTTTTTTATTAATATGAAATTACTATTATATTGATTGATCGAAAAAAGTGTGTAATTTAAATATTTATTAACATATTTTATCGCACTTATATATTTTTCGACTTATTTATTATTTAGATGAATTCTACTGCGTTGATAATTTTATGGTTATTTTCAGAATATTGGAATATTTTCATGGGCGTGACACCGAACGAGAATTGAGTGGGCCAGAATGGGGTGCCCACTTAAGCCCAAACGTGAAAAAGACCAAAAGCCCATTAAATTGGAGGATTTTGGGTTGGTTAATGGAAATTGGGCCAAGAATTAAAATCCTGCATAGACATACACGCAAGAAGTGGAATTGAGGGATTTATTTGGCAGCATTATCTAGTGAATTGTGGAGGATTTATGAAAGATATTTTTGTTTGGCATTAATTCGTTGGTTCGAACAAGCACTTGGAACCATAGAAAAAGGGAAGATCTTTAAATATTTTATTTCTTTACTTGCGTTTAATTTATATTCTATATATAAGATTGTGTGGATCTTATTATGGTATTTTATATATTGTAGGGATCAGTTATGATAAAAAAGAAAGAGGGAGAGACTTGCATGGATAGGAGATCTATGAGAGAGAAAGAGAAGATTATCTTACCAAAGATAAGCTACAAACATGGAAGGAAATCATACAAGGAGTCATATGCCTTGAGAAGACTCCAACCCAAAGGAGATTATATAAATACCTTTGGAGAAGCTCTTATTGCGGCTGCTGAAGTGACAAAGATTTTTAGAGCAATAGTCGAGCTTGATATTTCATTCTATTCAGTTTTGTACACAGTTCAGTTCGAGAGTTCTTATGCACTCAAGAACTGAAACTGTTTTTTGTTTGTTTTTCTTCATTTTACTCAAACAATCTTTTGTGTTACACTTAGGGAGTAAGTGTAGATTAAAAAATCCACGGGACATGGCCGGAGAAATAGTTGACAAGATCGTGAATAGTGTTGGCTAGACTAGAAGGGAGTTTGAGTCGTGTAAGTCTAAGCTATGTCTATATACGATTTATCAATGAAACAGCTCTGAGGGGAAGTGGGATACTTCCCTGAAGAGTTTTTAAATCTTCAGTTCTTTGGCTTCCACATTTTACAATTTTTCCGTACGTAATTAGCGCGCTCCATATCAAATATACATTTCAATTTAGATGGAGAAAAAAATAAATATATAGCCACCAGACGTAGGGAAATATTTTACGCGACAAGAGAAAAAGAGCTGCCACGCATAACAGAGAAACGGGAATAAGACGCAGACAGAGGAAAAGTATGAGGAGCCTGACGAATTGCGGAGGGAGGCCGCACCCGTACACGAGAATGATAACTTTATTTTTCTCTTTTGCTTTTTATTTATTATGTTAGAGTATATTTTATTTCTAGTTTCGGGGAAGTTGAACCCTATGACTTGATGGTGTTTAATTGATTTTCTTGGTTGATTATTGAGTTATCTTTTTGAAATTGTTTGTGTTATTTTGAATAATTAACCATGATGTGTTGAGTCTTATTTAGATTGATCACCTAGATTAGACTTTTTATATCTACAGTTGAATTAGACCTTCATTTCGTAATTGTTGTCGTGTTTAATTCATAAGAGGCTACCGGAAGACTGTTACTACCGGGGATAACACGACATATTTAAGTGAACGAATGCGTCACTACCCAGTCTAGCCTATTTTTCTAATTCGCAAAGCGGCTAATTGTATTAAATCTTGAAAGCGTCTTTCTGGCCTGTACAAGAAGTCATGTTTAATCATAGAGCGTCTCACGATTAAATTAAAAATAAGAAAAAATTCGGATAACATACCGTGTCGTTGCCTAGGGCTAGTAATTTCATGAGATAGCGAGATTTGATGCCAAAATTGGTTAGACGAGTCAGTCGAGGGTGTAAACGGAACCGTGAACTAGAAAATTCTCTTATTTATATTATTTTATTTTTATTTTCCTTTGTTTAGATTATATTTGTTTCATTAGGATTTTATTTAGTTTAGTTATTAATCCAATCCCCCCTATTTTGTTGCTTTTTTTAATTTCAATTTATACGAAAAAACCACAATTTGATACACACCCTCGTGGGATCGACCTAACTTGCCACTACTACTAGTTAGTAGAGGTTAGTTGACGTAAAATATAAATTTTAATTTGTCGTGTTACGATGCGCGGTCAATTTTTTTTATTAATGTGAAATTACTATTATACCCCTGGATTATTTCAAAATTTTCGGGGGGCCCAGTGCCCCCTGGGCCGGTTACAACTCCGTCTCTGGCGGGAACGCGATATCTTTCAATCGTCGTGTTTTGGTGACCTTTTCAAATGTCACAAAGTACAACGACACGACGTGGTGTGATGTCGTGCCCATGGACGCCTATCGCCTCCTCTACGATCGGCCTTGGCTATTTGATCGATCGTCTTGTCACAATGGACGTCTCAACACATACAGTTTCACGTTTGAGGGTGTTCGGGTTGTGCTACATCCGTCTCCACCCCATTTCGTTAACTTCGAGTGCGACTTCCTCGGTCTTTTTTTATCTCTCGCTGCATTTATTGCCGACATGCGAGGCGCCTCTTGTGCTCGAGGAGCAAGCCCCACCTTCCGCCATTGTGGCAGGCTCGTGCCGAATTCAAGGGCAAATTCTTTTCGACAGGGGGAGAATGATGGAGAGAGCATCTACAATTTAGTTTAATTATTTATTGTCATTTTTATTATTATTATTATTTTCTTTATTTATCTTGTTTACTTGTTACGATAGTGTTTATCTTTTGGAATATATTACTTGTCTAGCAAGCTAGAGAATATAGTAGGATTAAGAGTCTATTTATTATCCCCTGGATGGCTCGAACGATCAAACTTGATGGAATAAAAATTATACCTGTTATTGAGATATTTATCTCTTCTCCCTTCGTTTACACTGTACCCTACGTCACTTAGTTTGACCATGAAGGATGATTCTGTATTTGCCAATGGTTGAATTGTACAGTCCAATGTGCTCTCATGATAGTTTTATATTGCATAAACTGCACATTCCTCAAATCCATTGACAAAATTAGCAATGTCGAGCCGGCGAATTTGTCAATAATATGAGCCCTCTACAAATCACGGACTTGTGTAAGAACAATAATAATAAACGTATACAAATTTAAGACAGAGTCATGAAATATGGTCTCAAGAACATTATTGTATGACTGAGATTCGTTTTTCCTTTGAAACATGCGTACAATTCGCAATTCGTGCAAAGTGTGGTTCGTCCTATAACATCTTTAATGCGACACCTTGCGTAAGTTATAATGAAAATGTATGAGTTCATATGCTAATTTGCAATATAAATGACATGATTTATATTTAAAAAATCTATTGTGCTTCTCCATTTCATCGATTACCACTGACGTTTGTTGTTTGCATGGGGAAAAATTGAAGATTTCGTCCTGTAAGTGACACCTATTTGAGGTTTGGTCCTCTTCGATGCCCACTTTTGGATCACGTCCCGTAAGTGGCAAAAATCGTGAGAAATGGTCCTGTCACCGGCAAAAGCAGGTCATTTTTACCGGCTAGTCTACGTGGCATTTTTACATTTTTTTTTCTGAGTTGGAAGCTGTGTGGCATAATTCAAAAAAATGTCAAGAAGGGGTTTCGAACCCGGGTTGATGGGCATTGTAGTGGCCCTTATGAGCCATTTGACCTAACACAATTTATGTTAAATATTTGAATTTTCATTATATATCTCTCAAGAAAGTTTTATTATATATTTAATTACTTTAGTTAATTAAACTTTTATTATAGTTAATGTTATTTTTTATATTGATCTACATTATTAAATCTTAATTTTTTATATATATTAATTAAATATTTAATAAATAATAAATATGTTAAATAATATAATAAATAAATATATTAAATAATATGATTTTATTTTAACATATTCAAATAGATAAATATATTCAAAAATTATATTTAATATTTAAATAAATAAATAAATAAATTAAATAATACATTTAATATGTAAATATAAATATATATATATATAATAATAAATATATTAAATAGCAATATATATATACATATATATATATATATTAAAGGTTGTGGATATCAAGTTAACAATTACTAAATAAATTATTTATTAAATTTTATTTTATTAAATTTTTACTAAATAAATATTTAGAAATAAAAAAAATATGTTAAATAATTTAATAAATATATATATATATATATATATTATATAATATACTAAATAAATATATTATAATATAATATATAATATATATTTACTTGATAAATATAAATATTTACTAATCAATAGATATATTTAATAATAAAATAAATAAACATATTTAATCAATATGTTAAATAAAATGAAAATTAAATG